AGCCCGCCTGCCCGGGCAATGGGACGGCCAATGCCACAGCGCAGGAGCACGGCATTTTGAGCTATGAGACGACCACCCTGTGGCCCCTCGTGACCGTCAACTGCGTCATCATAGCCTTCGTCTTCTCCAAGGGGAAGCCGTTCAGGAAGCCCGTCTACACCAACTGTAAGTGGGGCGCCCCCCTCCCCTGTCTCGTCTCCCCACTCCTTGCCTGGGGGTTTGCAGAATCGTTATCGATATTGTGATTCTATTACGTTTGGAGGCCACCTGGCCCTATTGCCAGGTAGGCTGCAATTAGAAAGGAAGGAAAACGAACACAAACATGAGTGAAACAGGGCCATGCACCATGCAGCAGAAGCAACGGGTGGGGCTCAGCTGCCACCTACCCCCGGCCCGGGCGGACAGCCGGGCATCAAAGGCGTTCGGGGCGGCATCAAGGCGGGAGCTACGTGGCTCTCTGCTTTCAACCAGAACGCGTTGCAGGGCTGTGGTTTTGCGCACTGACTAGGGGCACTAAAACGCCCCGAGGGGCATGAGTCCTCCTGCCCTGTACCCGCCTGGGGAGGGAACTGGGGGTCAGAGGCCCCCTTTCTTCCTTGCCCTCAGCCCAGGGGCCCCTTGCGCACCGGACGCCCCGCATGACTGCCCGTCCCTCTGTTGGGTGTGAGAGGTCCGCTTGTTCCCTGGGACTGACAGGGTCTCCCCCTCCCCCTCCCCCTCCTCAACCTCAGATATCTTTTCTGGCATGCTGTGCGCCCAACTTGCGGTCTCCCTTTTCCTCTTCTTTGCCGACCTGGATGCTGTCTACAAGACGATGGAGGTGAGTGGGCAGGACGCTTCGTCCTGGGCACGAGGAGGGGTGGACCTGCAGGCTCAGCCCAGCCAGGTCAACTGACGGGGAGCCTCTCCCCTCCCCACAGCTTCTCTGCACTCCAACCATCTGGAGGGTCTACGTCCTGATTATGCTCCTGGTCACCTTCCTGGTCTCGTTCTTGGTGGAGGTAAGCCACACTGTCCTTCCCCAGGAAAGCATCCGTGGCTCCTGGGGTGGATGCAGCTTAGCTGGGAAGCAAACGTCTCCGGGTCTTGGCGTCCAGTCCCAAAAGCCACCCACAAGTTTCCGCCAGGGAAGAGTGGGGGGCTGCAAGGAGGGCTGGCTCCAGGACTTCTCCTCTCCTGCAAAACGGGGCTAGAGGTGGCCTCTGTGGGCCTTTTCCCCTCCTGGAGTCCCACTGCCTGTCCTGATGGCCGGTCCCTCTGCTGCAGTCCTTCTAGGCGGGGGTTACTTTGCTCCCCTCCCCTTTCAGCGGGAGCCCCACAGATCAGGACGGCATGGGAATGGGGAGGGTCTGCCTTTGGGCTCTGCCTGGGCCGGTTTGTTTGCCTGTCCTGCCAAGCCCCACCAGGGCACCCCCCAAGTGAAAACACTCTGACACAAACCTGGGGGACACCAGTATGGAAGTAGCCCCCCAGAGGGAGGGAGGCAGCCTTGCTGGGACTGTGCAGCTCACTCTTTCTGAGGGGGAGAGGCGGAACAGAGTAGCTGCTGGCCCCCAGTTCCCTGAGAGCCTCCCACCTGGGGGGGCGGTGACTGAGGCTCAGAGACTCCCTTCCTTCCGCCTTCAGTGGCAAGGAGCAGGCCAGGAGAAGGCCACTGTAGTCCCTTCCTTCCTTCCTCCCTGCCTGCCTGCCTCTTCCAGGACGGCATCCTGCAGAACCGACGCCTCTGGCTGCTGATCAAGGCGCTCTTCCGATTCCGATCTTCCAGCCGGTACCGCGTGCTGCAGCGGCAGCTGGAAGGGGATGCGACGTGGCCTCCCCTAAGTGGGCGAGACTTAGCAGAAGACGGAAGCAGCCCGGCCTACCTCAACCCCGCCTATGAGCCGGAGGAGGCCACAGGCTACCTGGGGACCTGCACCGGGAGAGCCAGCAGCGGCTGTGCGCAGCCAGAGGGGAGCAGCCCCGGTGCTTTGCCCACCAAGCCCTTCAACAGGGGTGGCGCCACTGAGGATCAGGATGCACAGGAGATCCCTCACCGGCGCCCATCCTGCATCTAGCCCTGCTCAGAAGGGACCCCTCCCCATTTGGTTGCGCCCGGGTCGGGGAGGAAACTGGCCCAAGGACCCAGCTCCTCCCCAAGGAGAACTGAGCGGGTGAAGCTGTTTCAGGTCTCCTAAACAGGCTGCTAAGGTCCCCCGGTGCAAAATAAAGTCGTTTTTTTCCCCTGGGGGAACATCACATGGTTTGCTTGCCCGCTCTTTGTCAGCAACAGAAATGGGGCCGGGGGCCGTCGGGGTACCGGGGGCAGGGTGTGGTTTTGTGAGGCTAAGGAAGGAGGAGGAGGACCCGGAGGCCTAAGGAGAGCGTCTGAAGCGGGACGTCTCGACTCGCCCAGCTGGCCTCGGCCTGAATAAGAGATCCTGGGGAACATTCATGAGCTGCAGCCGCCACACTTCGAAAAATAATTTGGTTTATTCTGGCTGGAGGCGGGCTGAGGGAGGCGGACTCCAGGGCCAGGGAGGCGCGCCTTCTAGTCGTGCTGAAAGCCGGGGTTGGCGTGAGCAGACCGGTCCCGGGTCCGGAGGGGGCGGGTGCGTTTCCTGCCAAGACAAGGCTGGCGTTAGAGCAGGACGGGGAGGCGGGGC